TTTTATGCTTTTTTATTACATATTTATATATATTACTTTTATAACAATTAATAAATATAGACCTGTGGGTCTATAGTGTAGTGGTTAATACTCCACAGGTCAGATCACAAGATACCAGTTCAACCCCAGGTGAAGGTGGTTGATCCGAATTAAAAATGGTATCTGGGGTCATAACCTGTTAAGCCCTGTTTCCTATAGGAAGTCATTTGCATGCTGATCCAGTGGAACGTTAAAATTGTGATCTCTGGAAAAGGTGTTGTGGCGTAACAATTATCCGAGTGGTGCCACGATGATTGCCAGAAGTATGTCAATGGTAGTTGAGCAACATGGTAAGCCAAGAGACATGTGCTCATCTTCCTTAATCAAGACTCCCCTTGTATTTGAGTATACAGACTGGGCTGTACTTCATCCTAATCAAACCCTGATCCACTTCTTTCAACAGTGGTTAGAGCCCTAGCCTAGAATATCTCAATCCGGTGCAAAGCCTAATTGGTTTGAAAAATAACCAGCCGCAGATGGTGAGAAGAATCAAAGTCTTGTGTAAGACTATTCAAAGGTAGCAAGAGTGTGATCTGAGGTCTAGGCGATAAAGTGAAGAGGCACCTGAACTAACCTCCCTAATCAAGACACCTCTAAGCAAAACTGGACCATTTGAGTTAGGTAGTTTAAACTAATGGTAGGCATTCTACACCCCATAGGTTCCAGCCTAGTGTCACATAGTGAAATTATTAAGTGATGGGTTCCTGGGTGCTAGATGTAAGGGAGGGTGTGGGGGATAATCTGCATAGAGTATGTAATGTACTGACTTGTATAAGTCCTTAACTGCAACTGTAAAATTGGTATAAGGAATTTATCAATAAAGAAGAAGCGGTTATCGCACTTGCACCTTATAAAAAAAAAATTATTGCAGTTCATATATTAAAATATACAATAACTCTAAATAAGCCAATATTTGTAAGACAAATGATTTTTGATATTAGCAAAGCTATAATATATAACTTTTGATATAGTTATATAAAACATATTATAAATATAAGACCTATTTATTTTATATTGATAGAAATTTTTTTATTATATAAATAGAAATAGAGAATATTTATAAAAATTGTACAGAAAGACTTAATATTTTTAATCTTGAAAAATCTGAAAATTTATTTTTAAAAAAAAATAACAGTATTCTTAAAATCAAAAATATACTGGATACTTTTACCAAATTATAATCTTAAAACTTTTAATAATTTAGAATCTGAAGACTAAAAAAAAAGCATGATATTTAAAAAATTAAAGATATAAAAAAATATATAATTAAAAGGAAACTTTGATATAATAAGTTTCTAAAATATCTTAAAATTAAAAAGACAACTAAATATAATATATATGAATTTTGTAGTTATAATTATTAAATATATTTAGAAAAGATAAACAAAATTATATTAAACTCATATAACAATAAGTACTAGATTTTACTTGATGAAATTCAAACTCTTTCATATAAACTGACAAATTTATATTTATAAATGAATAGTAACATTTAATATGATGTCTGAAAATATAAAATAAAGGATTAAATTAATTAAGTTAAAGCCTAATATCAATAGATTTTGATAACCTTCTTCCTAAGGATTTTAATAATTCAATTCAATTCAATTCTCGATTCTCAGGTTTATATTAAATTTACTATGTGAATTATAACTCACTATCATTTTTAATAATATTTCAAATTTCATGTGAGTCTATATGAATCTGTTTGATTTTAATTTTCAGAATTATACTTCTTCTAAATTATTTCAAAAATTTATATTATATGTATATATATATATGCAATATTAAAAACATACTTACCTTACTGCAAATATTATATTATAATTATCATATAATAAAATTTGTGTATAAATTGCAAAAATATAAAAATTAGTATTAATATTTATTGGAATTAATTTTATTTTAATATAATATATAATAAAATCTTTATTTATATAAATAATAAGTATTTATTAATATAATTTAAATAAATAAATATTTTTTTATTCATAATTAAAATTTTTAATAAGAAATAATATAATAAATTAAAAAAATATAATTAAATATAAAATAGAACTTGCATGAAAAAAAATAGCTGGATCCAAAGTTATATATAACTATTTCTATACTTTAAGTTTTATTTTATATTATTGTTAAATTATAATTTTATTGAAATAAAAAAATTGAATATTTTTTCTATTTTGGTAAGTAGATTTTATTTACTTTTATTATTCATTATTGTTAAAGTATTTTTTGATTGTCTAGATAGTACATATTTTGTTTTTCTTATATCTTTAACTATTTTTATATTAAAAGAAATTTCTAAATAATCTTTAAAATTAAATATATTAAAAGTTGAAATATATAATTTGTTATTAAATCTTATAAATGATAAATATATAAAAAAATTATCTATAGTTAATTTATAAAATTATTTCTAAATTGAGTACATAAATAAGTATTAAAAATAATATTGAAAAAAAATTGAATTGTTTTCAAAAAATTAATTCTTAAAGAATATAAATATTTTGAATTGTTTTACCTTCAAAAAACTATTTTAATAATATATCAAAGTAACTATTAACAACATTTTTTTTATAATATTCAGTAAAAAAAATTAAGAAATTTTTTTTTGTTATAATAGGAGGGTAAGTAATTAAAAATTAAATACAATAGTTCAATTAATCTAAAATAAAAACTAGAATTTGATCAAAAGCAAATTTTATGAAATTGTAATAATATAAAGAAATTTGAAAAAAGTTGATTAATATAATATAAAAGGGTCAAAAAAATTAGATAAAATTCAACATATGTCATTCTTATCCAATTAGAATTTAATTGGACTTGAGGAATTTTAGAAATTTTAGAAATTTTAGGGATTTTATAACATATACATAAAAAGAGAAATGTATAAGAGATAAAGCAACAATAAAAAACTATTCTTTTTATTATAAAACTCAAATTACCATCTAATACTTTCACTTATCTCGTACCAAATCTTTACAGCTTTTCTGATGATACATGATCAGTAATTGCGACATAGTGACAGACTTGTCATTACAAACTCCCAACAATAATCAAAAACAAATAAAAAATCATAAAATAAAATTTTTGAAAAAATAAAAATATTGTGTTTGGATTGTATCATTATTATCATTATTATAAATGGTAAATTCTAAAAGAGAAATTTGTGTTTTTTTATAAAAATTTATATCAATTTTAATAAAACTACTATCAATTTTAAAATTTTCTTTAAAATTCATAATTATAATACAAGAAATATTTTGTGATACAATTAATAGATTTTTGATAAGGATATTGTTCTATAAAGACATTAATAGAAATTTATTTAATCTTATAATTGAGAAATAAAAAAAATATTAAAATAATTAGTTTGTTATAATTTATAATTTTTTTTTAATACAAATTAAATATATTATATTTTTTTTGTACTTTTTTGAAATTTGAAAGACAATATTTGTAAAATATTTCAAAACATAATTTTAAAGAATGATTTTGTATTTTTAATTTAAAATAAATAGTTTTTTTTTTATTTTTTCTATATTAAAAAAATTTTAGACAGTTTTTTATCAATGATTAATTTATAATTATTAGTAATCAATTATAATAAATCAATATATATTGATAGTATTGCTTTATATCAATTTATATCAAAAATAAAAAATTATTTATAATTAATTTATATTAATATTTGATACAAATTATTTTTTATTAAGCTAATAGGTTTTGATTTATAACAATAGATTCTATCTATTATTAAAAACAATATATTTAATTTTAACATTAAGTGATATTATTTGATTTTACTGTATAATTAAAATTAAATATATAATTATTTACTAAATATTAATTTGTTTTATCAAATTTTGGAACTATATATATATATATTTATACTATCTATTAATATACCATTATACTGTTCAAATAATTCAAATTTTTGCCATTCCTATAATTTACTATTTTCTTGATATCAACAAATATAAACAAATTTGAATAGTTTGCTACCTTCAGATTTATAAAATTTAAATATTAATAATATTTAAATAAAATATTAAATCAATATAATGGTTTTTATTATTTACAGTATATCAATATAATTTAAATCTGATTCTTATCAAACCATATTAATTAATTTTTTCATCTTTATTTTTTTTCTTATAACAACATTAGTAAAAGATAAATTTTTATGAAAATTTAATAAGAAATAGATAATATTATTACTTTCTAATATTATTGAAAAAATACTTCTAATTAATAATAATTATTAATAGAATTAATTAATTTTTCTTCAAGAAATTCATTAAGACTTGTTACTAAGGTATTAAATTTTCAATTTATAACAAATTCAAATCATTTTGATTTTTCTATAAAAAGGTTTATAAAATTCTAGAATTCATTGATATTTTTTAGAAACCTTATTTTTATCAATTTTTTTGTTTAACCTAAAACAATTAATTATTAAATTTTAATAAGTAATAAATAATAAAAATTAAAAAAAAATGAATTTATAATTATACCATTTTTAATATCTGTTTTATATAATATTTTTATTAAATATGTGATATTCATTTTTAACATATGTTTTGTGAAGAGTTTCATAGGTCTCTATAGGTATACTATTTATTGCTTCATATTCTTTTATTGTGAGTATTAAATAATAATACCAGGTGTATTAATGAATATGAAAGTCTGATTATGATATATCTTATTCATATAAGAAAAAATATTAAATTTAAGTATTCTAGTTGACAAAAGGTTTTGTTCAAGAAAAACTATTTCTCGAGGAAACCATTGTTGTTCTCAAATCTTAATTTATAAAGAGTTCAGAGGCTTACATCAATTAGATATATCACAGTTGAGAAACAATAAGATAGACTAAACAAAGCTTTTTTGTTATATTTAGACATGTTTCTGATTTTCTTGTTCATAATTAATTGATTAAGCTTGATGAACTTATTTCAAGAATACATTTGGAGCAGTAGTTGTCTATTGTCTGATAGTAAGATATTGCCCTTATAAATATTTATAGGTAAGTTTTTGTTCTTGTGAGATGTCAACCAAGTGATATTAAGATCCTTCAAAAACTTATCCAAATAATCATCTGAAGATGTAATTGATTATTTGCTATATCATTTTGGAAAGAAATATAGTTGATGGATTACCATATTTCATACCAGACATATTGTATTTAGAGTGAGGTGTGATTTTCTGTATAGAGTAAAAAACCGCCTGTTTAATCTGATATAATAGAAAAGGAATTATTAGATAGGATATAATAGAATGGCTCAATAATGATGTAATATCAGAATACAAATCCTTATTAATTAGCAAGTGATCTTGCAAACTCATGAAAGAACTTGATAAGTTTAATAGTATGTTTGACATTATGCAAACTAATGCTGTATGGTTTTCCCTTATCTGATGTAACAGTGGTTGGTGAGTCTGTCACCAATGGGAAGTTAAATTCGCATAATGATAGTAAGTGTTTATGGTAAAGTGGAATTGATTATGGCTGAGAAATAATAATTTGTCTTCCTTTATTTAATGATCTCTTTTTTATACATTTTTACAACCTCATTACATAATAAAAATGATAATTACAAATTAAGTAAAACTATGAAAAATCTTATGACGAAACATTTGTTATTTGATTTTCACACTACTTCTATTACATAATCCCATTAATTGGCCTCATAGTGCCATGTTCGATCCTCGCACAACCCGGTCATATGGAGCTATTGCGAATATGTCACGATTCTTCTTTCTTCCCCTTTTTCCAAGCTCGTGCTCATTTCTATCGCACTCATTGTACTTGCTACTGCAGACTTTCTTCCCAACATCGTGGAGAAACCTGGAATTCAGCATAAGGCACATCATTCTTTTCTGAATATACCACTCTTCATCTTCATGTTTAAGCACACTATATCCCAAACATAATAACATAATCAAGAATTTGATTGGGAAATGGTCTTCATATACAAGGTTACTTTGCTCTTTAAATTTTTTAGCTTCTAGATCAGCTACAGTAACACTCCTCTGTACAAACGGTAATGGTTACATGCGGCAAATATTCGGATATTATGATGAATCGGTTTCTCACGATATATTTGATTACATGTTTATTTCACCAAAGAATATCCAGGTTTCCTTCTAGAATTTTGCTGGATTTTAGCTATGAAATTGCGAAATGTCATTCTCCTTGCAAAAAATCTTACCTCGGTCCCACAGGTTAGAAACCCGATTAGGCTTGTCAAAATCAGAATTGAGTTGGTAATATTTTCTTAAATAAACATAGTAATGCATCTGGCCTCTCCACAAATAACAATGAGTATATTCGCCTGCACTCTCAGCAAAATAAATACCATATTCAACATCTTTGAAATCTTATGAGATCTATTTAGCAGCTTGTACTTTTTTGTTAGACTTTGAATGTCCACTTTGTGTAAACATTAGCAATTTGGGATCAATTGCAAACAGATTTAAACCAGTCCAGTTGTTATAGCTTTAGGTATTGCCGTTGTTACTGGAGAAAAAGTAGCCTTGACAAAAGCAGAAATTATCCATGTGCTGGTACAGGTTTATTATATATTTCCATATCGTCCTCATCCACACCTTTCCAGGTGGCAACTTCACCACGACAAATTCTCCCCATCCAAGTTCTTTAAGAACCTATTCTAATCCTCGTTTGCAAATTTTGCGTTCAATACTTTGTCGCTTAGCGTTTTCTGTTCCAGCTTGGCAAGTTTCGCACACCATAAAATTAATTTCTATTTCTTGTCAATAAATTAAACAGATCGAATTTGTCTTTATCATCATTAATTCATTTTCGTAGTCACGAGTATTTCATTCTAATTCAAGTATTTGCATGGTATTCGCCGTCTTTTCTTGTGCGGTGCGTGGATATGAACAATTATTTGATATTAGACGCTGAAGCCAGTAAGCATCAAATCATGCGGAGATATTTTTGTAAAGCATTTGCACCAGTGACCTTTGATTTGGCAGTATCTGGACCAATAGTAGTTCGGAATCCTTCGTTTTCTTCATCTGAATGACTCTCTACCTTTTTCATCCTCAACTTGAATAACGCCTAATACACCTGTTGCCAATACTTCCACACCATCACCATCTTCCTCCTCGGACTCGACTTCATATTTTTCAAATTTATCTTCTTCCTCTTCATCAAATAATACGGCAACTCTCAAGTTTATCATTAATATTGTCTGAAAGTTCGCCGTCATTAATAGCATCCTCAGGATTACAATCTATTATTTTTTCCCCAAATTCACTAGTCGCGCAAATCTATCTGGTGCAATGGTATCAATGATCATTTCGATAACTCTTTTCTTGTCAAAATCCTTGAGTAAATCATTTTAAAAAATTTGCAGAATGTTGTCTGCTTACTTCAAATTGTATCTTGAGCTTGATCACGAGGTTTCGATGAACAAATGCTAAGGTCAATTCGTATGTCTCTCGAGTCTCTTTTTGTCCATGGACCCATAAAAATATCCAGTAGTCGCCAATATACAGTATTAAAATATGCGTAGGCTTTTTTCAATGCACTAGAGAACAATTTTATTTAATAAAAAAATCAAGGAAAAACGACTCGAAAGAAAAAAAGAGTAATATAAGATGAACCTCTGCTCTTTTTCTTGTTTCTTTTTCTTCTCCGCTTCTGTAGCATCCTGTGCTTTTTTTCTTTTTTGTTTGTAAATCTTTTATGGTGTCCCTTTGTACTCTAGTACCAGAATATTTCGGGTTGATTTTCACCATAACAATTCTGGCTCACCAGAAGGATCGATCTCGACGCGGTAATTCTTATCGATTTGCTTGTAAGATTAAAGTTAGCGGTGTATAAATTAGTACCAATATAAAATGAGAAAGATCATTGTATTCTTATAATTATTAAATATATTTCAAACCTCAAATAAGAAACTCATCGCGTTGCTTGATTATCCAATATACATGTAATTTTGTTAATGCGGCTAATAAAAAAATCGGAGCTTGTGTTTCTAGCAGAAACTAATATTTCCGAAAAAAATATGATTGAGAGAAACTTAGCAAGTATTCAGAACCAGTCAGATCAAAGTCGTCTCACAAGCTAGAGCTTAATCCAACCAGATGAACTTTGGGTCGGGTTTATTCTTTTATCTGTTGATAGAATAAAAAAGAATAGAACTCAGACCGATAAAAATCTCATCATACTTACCTAATTTACCTCGCCCAATGGATTCCCTAAATCTCACAAACTTGCGAAATCATTCCCCCTTGTAAACTTATCTGAACGTTGTGACCATGTCGCCAACCATGAATATTGGTCGTCCGGCAAGGTAGGATTGTACCTTCCAATAATAAATTCGGATAGAACTTACTGAATAACCTGCTATCTGACTTGATAATCTGCGGTCAAAAATTGATCCTACCTGATTAAACTTGAATCCGATCCGATCCGACTTATTCGAAACACTACTCATTCAGATAATCTGAAGTTTCTGAGTCACATTAAGTGAAACAAAAGTTTACATACACTAAATGGACGAAAGTTTACGTCCGAAGTAATTGTCTTAAAACAAATGATTATTAAACTTACCCAGTTCTCATTATGTGACCAGATTTCATACTTAACCGATAAGAGACGCAAAACTTTAGTAGTTAATATCCAATCGAAATTGTTCATTCTATTGAATGTGAAAAAAAAAAAATAGTTGTAAAAAATCTATCCTATAATGATTAATGTGTGATTAATGTGTAGATAAACGCAGTCTGATTACTTTTAAATAGAGCGTCCTAGTAAACATTAATGTAATAAGCTTGGGTTCTTAAGATAGAGAAGAGAAACGGATTTAAAGATTTTAGTCAAATAATAAAAAATACTTTAACTTATTTACTTAATCAATTTAAACATAACTTTATTTACAAAAATTATCTCGTATATTTCGCGTAAATTACATTATATAAAAACAATACATTAAGTTTGTTCGCGTAAAACGCGTCTCTAGTATTTTTAATTAAATTTCTACATATGTACACTGACACGAAACACTTAATACATTTTTTATAAAGATTTAATAAACAAAAACGTCTTGAAGTTCTAACTCATATTGCGTCCGAAGCTTATTATACACAAAAACTTAGGAAACATGACAGATACGTTTCGAGAAAACCTGACCGTTCGTCATATTACCTAAGTACAGTATATCAAGTATTTTCGTTAGATAATGTATCTAGTATGCTACAGGGAATAGTGAAGTAGGATCTGTGATCTACACTAATAAAACCCGACCCTCAATCACTACTCAAAGACGTTCGTGAGAGGTCACCACTCCAAAATTCAGAAAACGAATAATAATAAAAAAGAAAAACAAGACAATAAAGGGTAGGGTTGACTTTAACTGCAAACATACCTGCGAAGAAATATCATGTAAGCGTGAAAAGTTTTCGTGGTATAAGATTTCGAAGGTCAGGATATTTGTAAGAAGGAAGAAGGATAAAGTGTTGGGAAAAACCAATTTTTTTTCCTTTTATCTTGTTGATCTTGTGACTTATTAGTTAGTGCCAGCTGATCAACATGATAATGATATTGGTACTTGGCCATGTGATACAAGATCAGCATTGGACCGACTGGGGTTGAACTAGCCAATTAAATCGTGTAATGAAATATGTAAATACCAAATAATTTATATTATTATATAAAGAAATAAGTTTAGGTTAAAATCATTATTTTTTATAATAATAAAGCAACCTACATTAAATAAATTATTAATTTTATGTTATTAAAAAAATATTGAAATTTAATATTATAAATAAATATACAGTGTGGTCTATAAGTATCTGGAAAATTAGCCACAGAAAAAAAAAAGATGTAACTCTGCCAAATTAAGACTGATTTTCATGATCTAAGATAAAAAAGAATCGGCAGATACGTGGAAATCTTCATATGCTCTTTTGTGATACCAATCGTTAGTTTTTTTTTGAGAAATTCTTCTATATAATCATGACTTCTAAGCAAGAAACTAACCGTCAATTCATTTTACAATTGTGGACTCAATGAATTCGGAACACCAAAGAAATTCAGGATATAACTAACATAGTCTTGTCTACAATATACGAGAATATCAATAAACTCAAAAAAAATAACACGAATGAGCAAAGGTAGGCCCAAGAAGATAATAGTGAGAGTATCAAAGGCATTAGAACAATATATATGAAGGGATTCATCTATTTCAACGAGAACCCTGGTGGCAAAGTTGTTAAAAATCAATGTAAAAGTATCTCATCAAACGATTGGAAGGCATTTGGCCGCTCTTGGATACAAAAAAAACATCCCAATAGAACTCCAATGCTTACCGACATCCATAAGCATAAACGTTGGAATGGGTCCAAAAGCACCTAGACGACGATTGGAATAATACATTTTTTTCAGATGAAACGACCTTTTTACTCTTTCGGAATACAGTGGAGTACTGGTATAAAGGAGCACAGCCAATACGATGCTTGCCTAAGGATCGAATGAAGATCTTCATGTGGGGAGAATTTTGCATAAAGGGTAAAAGTAGTTTATTTTGTTTTTCAGAAATTATGGATGCCAAACTTTATGTCAATATTCTTCGCAGACATATTTCAAAGATCAAGTAATTATTAGGTGATGAATGGCGGTTTCAGCAAGATAACGACCCGAAACATATGAGTCGTCTTGCTAAGGCATTTCTTCAGAAGAATACACCTGAAGTTTTGGACTGACCTTCTAACAGTCTCAATCTAAACCCTATCAAAAATCTTTGGGGCATCATCAAGAACACTGTAGAAAAGCGTATACTGAAAGATTTGGATGAATTATGTCATTTTATGATAGAAGCATGGGGAAGTATTCCTGAATCTACTCTAATTAATTTGGTAGGGTCTATGAAACAATGTTGTAAACTTATTATTGAAAAAAATGGCGATCATATTTTGTATTAAAAATAGTTTAATAAATTGGCTAGTTTTAGCCTTCGTAATGTATAAATTTCACATGATTTAAATCATTGGTTATGGCATAGCAAGTAATTTTTTAATTCCGGATACTTATGGACCACACTGTATATTAAACAAATAATTTAAATTAAATATAGCATTTAATTATTTCAAATTATTATATACATATACAGTATATATAATTTATTTATAATTCCAATAAAAAATTTTAAAAGTTTCAAAGTTTCAAAGATTCTTAAGTTTAATTATATAGTGTAGGATTGTTATTTATTATTTAATATTTCATTTTTATACTATAGACATATAATTATTTATTATTTATTAAAATACAGTAAATTATTAATTATATATAGATATTTTTATTTTGTTTAATATAAAAATATAAGATAAATAATAACGAAACTTTTTTTTAAAGTTAAATATGATTAAACTTATTAGTATATGGAAATATATATATGTGAAATTAAAATTTTAATTTCAAAAAAAATATATATATAAATTACGAGTAGATACTCGACGATCTTTTTAATCAGTTGAGCCATATACGTGACGCCATGTCGAAATGCTTATTATACCATCCCTACCTTACTGTGACAATCAGTTGCTTATGATATTTTTTTTCGTTTCGCACAACTTGTGTATCCAAACATGTCTGATCCCACTCCACATTCAATTATACAAGAAATAAAACGTCTCGGATTCAATTCATACGAAAAAATAAGTTTATTTGGTTACTTCAACGGAAACGAAAAGAATCAAGCTGACGCGTTATCTTTCATTGACAACTGTGATACTGATGAAAAAAAACGTAGTTTTTTGATGTCTCTAATCTCTCCACATGGCATGTTCTAAGATAATGCTTAAACCTTCGTTTCTATCGTATTTGCAAATAATACCGAATACTTATCTTGTGTTATTTCTTTCTGCTTCTTATCATCAAACCCACCCAAAAAACATATTTACGTTATCATAGAGCGACCCATTTCCGATATGACTTCTCTAAAGAGAGAAGTTGTGGAGGTCCTTGAAGAAAAATTCGATCTTATTAGACATAAAGTAGGCGTTCTTAGAGAAGAAGTAGGCGGTATTAGCCATGAAGTAAAGAGAATTCGACTTCACAGTGAAGTAATGTGGTATAGTGCTCCAGGTATGTTATCCAATCCATCGTGTCTACATTACTTTCTGCAAACATCATTTAATAATATTTTTATTTAGATACTATTACAGAAACTGAAAAGGGTATTCATGTGAGAAGCTATGGTACTCTTATTAACTTCCCATTTAAATTAACTGCGACTACTAGAAGAATAGATCATGGAAAGTTTAGAAATCCACCTAACGCTGAGGTTCCAGAAAATCTATTACAAGAGTATTTTATTAACGAATGCAGAGCATTACAATCACTAAAGGATTCTGTGCTTATGGTTGAAGACTCACATTCTATTCCATTGCTGGCTACTCGAAAACCAGATTTTGCATTCATTTCAAAAGGGTCTCCTCTAGATGCATTAAATGTCATAGCAGTTGGTGAAATAAGAAAAAGATTTAGCAATGGATTTAGAAATGCAGATATAGGACATGCAGTGTCATTTGGGGAAAAAGTACTTCAACTTCAGCCAAGACGAGCCTATGTATATGTGGTGTTAACAGATTGCAGACTTATTTGTATTTATAAGGTGACTAGGAAGAAGAATGTTAATACCGGAGATAACGTCCGATTCTCATATGAATATACATTACCCGAGCGCTTAATATACGAAACCAGAGATACCTCTTCAACTGGGTGGCAATACTTGGTAACGATTATGGAATGTTCTCGAGATCAGCTTGGATGGGTTGATCCATCGTTGAAATTCGGCTCAGATATTGTAAATCTGGTTCGATCTATCAATACAGGCAGAACTAGCGTTGTGTACGAAGGAAAGATTAATGATAAAGATTCTGTAGCCGTAAAATTGATCAAAGAAAAAAACTACTTATCTTGTTTTTTAAAAGAAAAAGAGGTATTGAATGAGCTTTCAAGTCTAAATTCACCTCATCTTCAGAAACTTTTCCTAAGTGATGAAGGTGCCCTTGTTACAACTCCTCTTGGTACGATAGTCAATAATCTGAAAAAGAAGGATATTAAAAATATCATCAACACACTGAAGACAGTGCATTCAGTTTTCAATCGCGTACACATGGATCTTCGTAGATACAACCTACTTCGTGATGATAACGAAAACATTGTGATCATTGATTGGGGGTATAGCGTAAAAATCAATGAAACTGGAAAATTTGCTGGAGCACTTGAAGTTATGCCTGACGATATTCTGACATTGTTGATAAATGAAAAACAAATTACTTATTTATCGAGAATTGACTTGATATGTTTAGTAAGGACATTTTATTTGATGCTTCATAAACCGGCAAATGCAGAAATGGAGAGGATGTTCTTTGATGGAACTCTTGACATCAAATCACGCGCTCAAAATTTATTGATATTTTGGTCATATCACGGGAACTCAAAATTATGGGAAAAAATCTATCAACAAGCTAATGAGTTGAACTATGATAATTTAATCGAAGAGCTTGAAGTGTTATTTTAACTTGCATTATTGATTTGATATAAAGTGGAATTACTGAAATGAAAAAATTAAATATGACCAAAGTATATTTTTAGAATAGTTAGGTTTAATATTAGAAAATATCATCATATATGACCTAGCAAATATTATTATTTTTCGATTACACATACTTAAATCTTAAAATAAATAAAAATATTTGCTCACATCGAGATCGTAATTATAACAAGTCAGTATAAGGTGTGGTTTGGGCAGAAATATTGGAAAATAAATGTATGCTAACATCTCGATCCAAATTTCTTTCAGTTTTGCAGCGCAATACTATTCATAATAACTGGCTTATAAAAAATTATGGGACAGAAAAATTTTATATAATTCATACTAAATAGGATTTTCTGAAATATATCTTCTCTCGAGATCGTGATGAAATTCAATGGATGATATACATCCAACGAATAAAACATTTACCATGCCATCGATTCAAATTTCAGTTCGGAAGATATTAAATATGTAGCATCTTAGGTTAGAAAGAATATAGGTTCTGTGTAAAATATAGCGATCACATGATGGTGATGCAACTCAACTGTAGCGTTTTTATACCATTTTAAGTTAGCCAGTTACAATCACTTAGGATATAGCAACAATATTTATTATAATATTGTCTAGTAAGTTATTTTATACAATAGAAAATAGTCTAGTAATATCAATATATACAAATATACTTTGTATATTATACATTTATTTCAATAAAATAATAAGATGTATGCCAAAAAAATCAAAATCAAAATCAAAACAATTAAAATTTTCTTGACTACTTCTATTTTTAAATAATATAAAATAACTTAATTTTCAAAATCATTTTTAATATAAACTTGTAATTTTAATATTTATATGTAATAAATGCTTTAATGATATACTGTATATTAATAAAATATAAAATAATTTGATTATAAGTAGTTTTTGTTTCTATATACTAATTTTTAAACAAATAAATTGTATATTATTTTGACAAAAATTTATTATATTATAAATCAAAAACAGTCAATTAAAAAAAACAAACTTTGATTTTTTGTTATTAAAAAAGAAAATAATATATTATTATCAATACTATCTAAAGTATTAAAGCTTAAGCTTTAAAGAAATATTTGATAAAAAAGAAACTTTTACAATAAATATTGTTTGTTATTAATATAAAAAACTTTATTGAATTAAAAAAATTAAATAATGACTAAATAAACTCTTATTTTCAAAAAAAAAAAGATTATAAATATATATTTCTGATATAAATAAATAATTAATTAATTAAAAAAAAAACTCTCCTCTGAAAATCTTGCATCGCTTAAAAATTTCCTTTTTTAGTAACTGGCAAAATTATTAGGAGAAACAAAACAACCTGTACTCTTGGGGGCTTCCCTCCCAAGGGCAAATCACCAAGCCCATTCCACATCCTCCTGAATATCGTAGTAACAAGCCTTAGCAACCAACTCTTCTCTGTAGTATACAAGGAAAGCAACTCAAGCAACATTCAAATCACTGAACTAGCAAAAAATATATCTATTCCACCCCTAAGCAACTTTCCCAAATTCTGGATCGTTTCCTTACAAAACTCAAGCAACAACAGCCCTGCACAAGTGGATACAGCCTTTATTAGTTTCAAGCAAATAATAACTGAGTCCAACACTCCTTACTCACATACAATGGCCACAATAACTATCAACAACCGCAAAAGCAATATCCAAAACAACCTCAATGATTTCTTCCAGTATCAGGAGAGAAATAACCTTGCTCCAAGTATAAGGGAAATCATTGCAAAAAAGGTTTTAAACAGTAACTTCAATTATACTCTTCATTTTTCCTGGAATCAAGTTAACATCATCAAATGTAATAAGAAATTTACTCTGGAAAAAATTTTGGATGCACCATTCCACACGCCACCCAACACACCAGTCCAGAATGAGGAACCAATAGTCACTAACCAAAACTCCACTACAAGCTCTGAGGGAAAAATGTTACCTTCTCAAATTTCAAAAAAAACCTCAAGCAGCTTACCCCCTCCTATTGATCTGCAGAATACGAGCAGTTCCAAAACAGCACAAATCAGCAGCACCACACATGCACCCCCTACAGACCACGAACACACAACAGTAACCAGCATAGCAGGTCACACAACACTAAGTACTAACAACACGCATAATCAAGGTGACATGATACAAGTGAATGATCTCCACCATGCAGTTACCACAGACAATCAACATGACAAATCTGGAAGCACAATCAAACCAACCAGCCCATGCTCTGATAATGATGTATTAATGGAATCCCTGGATATCACAAATCTCGCCAGTAACGCTAGCTCCCTCATAGAATTCGATCGCCAAGTACAAGAAGAACTAAACAATCTTCAAGGGAATGCACCCCCACTCAAACAGATAATCAAGAGCTCACATCAGACCAAATCAGAAGAAAAAAAATATTAGATGAAGCAGAGGCCATCTGGCCGACAGACGATCCAAGCTTGTATGGAGACTCTGAGAACTTTCACAACTTCTCACGGAGCAGGGACTCAATAGAAAACAAACGACCAACCTTACCTCCAAGCAACAAAGAAAACAGGATTGCAGAAATTCTCTCAGAAAGTAGCCACCCAATAGATAACCCCACCATCCTACACGCAGCAAGCAACAATGAGTCTTTTACTAGTGAGCATGACATTATCATTGACCTGGCATCACAGCTATTAGCTTGCCAGAGCGAGGCCAAAGCAGTAGCAGATTTTTTCAAGAAGATCAAAAACACCACTAAAGGTTCGGTCTGGCAGGAACCTCACATGGCAATTTTTACCAAAATCCTATTAAGAGATAGGACCTTTTTCAGATCTTTCACCAAAAATGACTTACTCAAGGGAAACCACCAAAAAGAATATGAACAGCTAGAAACAAAGGCACACGAAAATTACAAAAAAAATCAATGACGTTGGATATATTAGCAGAAGAATCAAAAGAAAAATCAGATGGATTCTCAACTCATCACTATTTGTGGCATGCCTTAGATTCACAGACCTATGCAAATTCAAGTTCTTTGAAATTGTGCAAATTCTCAAGTTCAGATGCAACTATTTTATGAAAGATGACAACAGCTCTGTTGATTACATCGAGTTGTTAGACTTAATCAAAGAAATGCTATATGAATCACTACCAACCCTTCCAGATAACCCAGAAACCATTTCCTTTAACATAGTCATTAAGCTCCCAAGCCCATTGCCAATCAAAAAAAGATCATTGCTTATACCCACCATATCTATCCTAAGGATTTACTACAAGTTCTCTCAGCTTCCTGACTCATACTTTTTTAAGTTCGAGTCATTACCAGACAATCCCAAAAATCTCAATGAAGAAACTAAACATCTCTTCCCTATTACCGAAAGAAAAGACCTTAAAGAACTTTTGTTGAAAATCAGGGAGCTCGCCAAGTTCTATGAAATTTCTGCAAAATTGCCTAAAACATTCTTCGACTTGCCACCACCCAAGGTACTACTCCCGGCATCATATAAGTTGCTCCCAGAGCACTTGGTACACTACTTTCCTCACGACCCAATGATCATGAACACAAGAGAACTTATTGGCATCTTGAGAAAGGAATACAGCCTCAAAACCCTGCCGCTAGATTTTTACAAGTTCAAAAGACCACTGCCACACTCTCCCAACTTACTGTTGGATGACTTAGACATAAACATTCCTACCCAAACCAAGGAGGACACCGACCATCTCATAAAGCACTTGCAAAAAGACTTCAAATTCAACTTGTCTCTCGGCCCTCAGTGGGTAGACCCAACTATTTCTCAGACAGGCAAGGAAAAGTTGTCAAACAACATCTCCGAAGTGGACAAGTCTATAGATATCAAAGACCATATTGACTACTGGGCTAACAATTTCCTGCTAACTGTGTGAAAATTACATGAGAGATACAAATTTTGCACCATTCCAGAGGATTGGTTCCAGGCCCCAAAGCCACCCTTATCTCTTATAAATGAGCTCAACAAAATATCAGAGGCCAATCTCTCCTCAATTTGTTTTCCCCTTGCAGATGATGAAAACTTGCCCTCACTGGTTGCACAACTACACAGAAAATACACATTTGACAGACTACCAGAGAACTACATTGCTCCTGAAGATCTGCCGGAGTCCAGCTTCGATCTCATTCCCTTTATTTGTTAAAATGACATTATTACCCAACTTTAATCACTCATTAAAAACACATACACAACAGACTCCTTTACCAAATTTGCCCAACACTCATATCAAAAACCTACTCAATATCTCAACTCTAAATGTTCGAGGATTTAATAACAGAAGCAAGTTAACAGCATTATCTCAAGACCTCAAGAATGACAAAACCATCCTGTGTTGCTCAGAAACAAAAATCTCAGATGGAAACCTCCTCCCCAGAAAGCTTAATAACAAGATAATTATCTCTAGTACACCATCCAGCTCATCAAAAAATGGCTTTTGTCTAATTATAGGAAAGGATCTAAGCAGCCACATTTTCGAAACATTCATCGAGAGCGAATACTGGTGTGCAGTTTATCTCAAGTTTAAACCAAAAACTGATATTATAGTCACCTCCATATATCTTTCACACGAATACGATGAAAGAAAGACAGCAACTTAGTCACTAATCCGATTCATAAAAAAATTTAAGAAGCCGATACACCAAATAATGGCAGGAGACTTCAACACATACCCATCAGGCACACTAGCCATTAATGCCTCAACAACAAATCCAAAAAAGAGAATCTATAACTACTTGCACGATTGGACAGACATCGTTTAAGCAATGAACAAAAAGAACGAGTACACACATATAACCCAAACAAGCGCATCGAGAATAGACCAAATCTGGTGCACCAATAATTTGGGAACTAAGGTCTTGGACGCGAAAACCTTTGTCTCATCATCAATCGATACAGACCACAAACAAGTGCAAGTAATCTTTGACTGGTTCGAATATAGGCTGGCAGCTTCCGG